TGACCGCTCTCGACCGAGTCGTGGGCTCTTTGGAGAAGCCATACTCGTAGTTCTGTATCTGGGACATATAGCCTGTCCCGAAAGTATAGCCTGCCGTCGTCGATCCGACACTCGGACAATGCGACTTCTTTGGAGTGTGGTGTGCGGTCTTCTCTGTTCATTTCCTTAGAAGTCTTCTTCCAGAAAGGGTCTTCCTTGTACCCCTCCTCTAACATCCTAGTCAAGATATGGTCGTCGGATTCAGTTCCCTGCTCGTCTGGTTCTGGTTCTGGTTCCTCTTGTTCAGTGGGTCGTTCTTCCTCGTTTAGAGGTGCTAAGCGAATGGCAGGGTCTAAATTTTGAGGTTTGAGAAGTGACTGTTGTTGGTATATAATCCGAGGGTCGTCGTCTCGGCTCGGGAGGTCTTGGGATCGACGAGTAAGTGAGTCGGACTTGGTGTTCTTCTTACCAGGTACAGGTTTAATAACAAAGTCGAATTCAGAGAGAAACTCGCTCCACCGGACTTGACGGCGGGTCAGTTGCTTAGTAGTCATAAAGTACTTCAAGTTGGAGTGATCAGTGATTACTGACACAGGGTACGCGGTTCCCACAAGTTCGGAGCGCCAGGACTCGAAGGAACGTACTATGGCAAGTAGTTCCTTGTCATAGATTTCGTAATTGCATTCCGCGGGGTCGAGGACTTTTGACATAAAGGCAACAGGGTAGAGAACTCCATCGTGGTATTGGGACAAGATGCCGGCCGAGACGTAGTCGGAGGAGTCACATTCGACAATGACTTCCTTCTCTGGGTCGAAGTGCTTAAGTGTTGGTGCAGAAGTGAATGCTTGCTTAAGTGCTTGAAACGATTTATCACAAGTCGAGGTCCATTCCCACCTTACGCCTCTCTTAGATAGTAAATTCAATGGTTTAACTAACCTCGAGAAATCCTTAACAAAGCGCCGGTAGAAGTTCGAGAAGCCAAGGAACGCCTGGAGGTCTTTGAGGTGAGCTGGCCTAGACCAGTTCGTGATAGCCGAGGTCTTCTCAGGGTCCATTCTCACTCCATCCGTTGATATAATCATGCCTAGATAGGTGACTTCCTGGACTTCGAACTGGCACTTCTTAATGTCCAGCTGGAAGCCGGCTTTTTCGAGAGCCTCGAACACTTGTTCGACCTGCTTACGATGCGAGGTCAAGTCGTCTGAATAGATGAGTATATCGTCTATGTAGGCAGTGCAAAAGATATCCAGGAACGGGCGGAGTACTTCGTTAATCCGGGCTTGCCAGGTTGCTGGAGCGTTCGTAAGGCCAAATGGCATGACTAGAGATTCGAAGAGGCCGTAGCGAGTATTGAAAGCTGTTAGCCATTCGTCCCCCTCCTTAATTCGTATGTGGTTAAATGCTGCAATGACATCGACTTTGGTGAAGTACCTTGCTTTGCTGAGTCGTTGGAGTGTCTCTTGGATTCGGGGTATCGGATACCGGTTTTTGATCGTAATATCGTTTAGTGCTCGGTAATCCACGCAAAAGCGTAGTCCTCCACCAGGCTTCTTTGCGAAAAGTACTGGGGAGGCAGCCGGGGATTTACTTGCTCGAATAAACCCCTTCTTCAGCTGTTCGTCGAGGTACTTACGTAAGACCTCTAACTCTGGGATAGACATATTATATAGAGGTCCATGGGGAGGAGATGAACCAGGCTTCAATTCAATCTTCAGGTCGCAGTCTCGATGTGGGGGTAGCGTATCAGCTTTCTGACGGTTAAATAACCGAGATGACCACTTCTTCAAGTGTGGAGGGAGCAAAGTCTCAGGATCAACGTGCTCTCCAGGGTTGTTGTACTTTGCGAGTGCCTTCTGGATGTCGTCTAGAGAGGCCCCGCAGAGGTAGAGTTCAGCAGCCATTTGGCGAGAATCGGTGGTTTTGTGCTGGAAGTCGTCCTGAATCAGTAACTCCTTTTCCATGCGCTTCTGGCCCGAGAGGCCATCGTCCATCCGAATGCTGTACAAGGTGTCGGGAGTAGAAGGGCTCGCGCCTAACTCCTCTAACCTTTTGTCTATTTCAAAAACAGATAGAGAGAACACTTCAACGCCGTGAGTAGATGCCAGCCGGTTGAAGGAGGCAGCGCTGACTTTCAGGGGCTTAGGGATATGTGAAACGTCGTGACGAGTGCATTTCACTTGAACCGAATCCAACCTCCTAGGCATACAGTGTCCTCTACAGTACGTAGAGCCAAAAACGATACTGTGGTTCGTCCAGTCAATTTGAGGGTTGTGGAGAGCGAGCCACGGGTGTCCTATGATGATGTTGTGGGAGGCGAGTTTAGTAACATGGAAGCGTTGTTGACGTTCTACATGCTTCCCGACAATCATGTCCAAGATAACTATATGAGTAACATCACCTGCTGAAGAAGGTCTCCCGTCCGCGATGCGGAGACGACGAGGCCGAGCGAGTGGGACGAATTCAAAACCACAATTTTGCGCATAATCGGAATCAATGAAATATTGAGCTGAAGCCCCAGAGTCGAGCATAAAGTAAGTAGTAGAAGTTATGTGTTTGGTATTGCCTTTCTGTACTACCTTACAAGGAACCTCCATCGTACTTTTCTGCCTTTCCTCTAGAGATGATATCTTCAGGACCTTCTTCCGAAGACGTCTCTGACGGCGACTTTCGTCAGAGACTAGACTTTTCCCGCTTCCTTCGCAGCTTTCGTCGACTCTCGAGCCTCAAGCTTGGGACATCCAGTGGTGCCAATATTGTGGTCGGGGCTATCGCAATAGTGGCAAAGGTCGTGTTTGATTTGGTAGGCTTTGCGAGCTGTCTTCTCTTCATCGGTCTTCGCACGACGCTTTGCTTCTACGTCCTTCTTAGTCCAAACGAGTCTTCCAGCAACTTTCATCATATCGAGCTCCATCGGGTCTTCGTAAGCAGTAGCAGTAGCAGTAGAGGCAGTAGGCGTCGGGACTGTATAGGGGGTAAGAGCCATGGAAGCGAGCTTGGTAGGCTTGGTCTTGGTGAAGTGTTCGCCGAAGATCTTTCTACAGTTGCGGTCTTGCTCTCGGACAAGGTTGACTAGGTCGTGGGGGGACATGTCGTCGCTATATCGGCCGCTGGAGAGGACTTGAGCATGAATGCGTCTGTCCATATTCTGCATGAGAAGGTCAATGACAGGGAAGCCTTCGTTTCCAGAGGCAGACGCCAGTGCTAAGAACGAGCTTAGAAATTGGTCAGTAGGGCGAAGTCCCTGAGTCTCTTTTTTCAATAGCTGCCAGCTGTCTGACTTACTATAGACATTACCAAAGGTTCGGCGTAAGACATCGAGCATGTCGTCGACCGATGACAAGCTTACTTTGAAGGAGCTATCGTCGTTAATGTGAGGGTCGATGTGTTTGCGAGCATCTCCTTCCAAAGTACTCAAGACATATGCCATCCTACTTCTCTCAGTAGTCCACCAGTCAGCGTTCTCGGCTAACTTCAGCTTCAGGTCGATAATGTATGTATGAAGTTCGGCAGCTGAGCGTCGCGTGCCGCCGAATCGTTGAGGGTCAGCGTAAGGTTGTGACCGAAGTGTTAGAGGGGGTGGGTAAGCGTGAACTTGTGGTAGAGGCTGAGGTTGAGCTTGGGGTTGGGCATAGACTTGAGGCTGGGCTTGAGTTTGAGCTTGAGCTTGAGCTTGAGCTTGATTCAAGGCTTGGCTTGTGGTATGAAATTGAAGTTGCATAGCGTGAAGTTGGTTTCGTAGCTCTGCGGTCGTATTCTGTTCTCTCTCAAGGTCTGTGATTGCTTCTTCTTCGTCGCGACGAGAGGTAGCGTATTGGACTTGAAGTTGGTCGTGCTTGTTGAGGAGGTCTTGTAGGGCGTTACGAATACCATCCGGGTCATTGGGAATAGTAGTAGGTTTACTGATGAGGTTTCGAAGTTGCTCAATCGTGTAACCTCCTTCTGGTGGTGGTGGTAGCTGGTGGTTGTCGCGGGAGGTGGACGAGGTGAATGGGTTGAGGAAGCTAGGCAAGCCGGTATTGGCTGCCCATCCTTCGAACCCGTTGTTGTTGCTAGTACTCATCTTGAGGTGTTTGCAGTACGATGGCGATGCCTGTCGTACGACAAAAATTGAGTAAAGGGCAGACAATATGTCAGGGTGTATGATTAGATTGTCTGCGAGGAGAGAAGAGTTCTCCAAGCAGAAGTGCTACTTATCTATCTACAGTGCCTTGTTTCCCGAAATCTACCCGACACCAAGCCTCGAATTCACTGAATCAAATCTGTTACAACGCCGAACAGCGAAACTCGGCTAATGTACTCTTACACCGGCACCAGCCACTACTGTAACTAGTAGGCAGGATTACCAACCAACTCTTCTCTTCTCCAATTTGCCGTAAAGATTTTGTATCCTTTGATCCACAGTATAGTTACCACTAGAACAATAGCAAAATCGAGGACAACAACATTTATGAAAAGCAAATATGATTCGTTCCTTTACTTGGCAAAGCCAAAATCCACCTCGACAACGAGCGGGAGGCATGCATTCGTTGCCAGTCCCAGAATTTGCGTTGTGCAGAACATGGTGGTCGAGAAAGAAAGTTGTAGTCGATGTCTGAAGGTTAGAGTAGTATACTTCTTCGGGATGTCGATGCGTGGATTGTGCACCTACTCCGTCCCATCACTGCATCTTAGAACGGGAGATGAGATGGATATAGATGTTGCTAGAAAGGGGAAATATATGCTACTGCTACCGCATAAGTTGATGGATTTGGTATCGACAGCCATGTTGGGGCATGCTGCGCCATTGAGGGACAAGGTTTGCTCTTTTGACTTGAATTTGAAAAAGGAAAAAGTAATATAGGCTAACTCATTAGGACTCTGTGGTATCCGAAAGGGTTCACTATTGTTGCGATCAAACTACGTAATCCCGGTAGGTATATCATATCAATCACAAAAACAGGCTATTGTAGGATTGTATGCAAAGATAGGTTCTAGTAGAAGCAATAAAGAAACAACATGTAAGCCGGCGTCACCCATCATCTCTATTTCACATGCTCTTTGAAGTCATCACCTCCCGGATGGACTAACCACCAGCTTTTGTCACTTTCACTGTCGCTGGTCTTCTCTTCAAACTCATCCGAGTTTTGAGATTCACTCGGAATCTGTTGATAGCTGGCATCGGTCTCCTCAGACGCGTAACTCAAAGAATTTTGAGGTGTCAAGCTATCACCGGCGATCGATTCATCATTAAATGTGAGTTACCTTGAAAGACCCTCGAGCCCATGCTCAGTGTCGTTTCCTGCATAGGAGAAATTCTCCATGCTAGATTGTCGAGAGAAAATACTCCCGATAGTCGATTGAGAGGCAGTGTCATCGTAATTATTCGGTTCAGCATCATGATTACCAAAGATACGGGAGACTTCATTTAAAACTGAAGTATGGGTGCTCGACAACGCTGTACTAAACCCTTCTAAGTCCAGTGAATTCTTTGGTATCATCCACGAGTACAGTCTTCGATGGTGTCCTCCCATTCGATATTTGCGATAATGAGAGGTCAAAAATAACCAACATGTGTGACAGCTGTATTTACTGCAACCGATAAAGCCGCCGTCTTCCCATAATTTGTATTTTGGCTTGGATATTTCGGAGAGTATCTGTATCTCCGCATGCACCTGCAACTCAGCTTTCTGGTGGTTTGTGAATTTTCTACATAACTCCTGATCACTGTAAGCTTCCAACGGTATCTTCCCATTCTTGTTCTCCATCAGTCCATTAATTAATCTGGTAGCTTCCACACCCAAACAGGAAGCCTTATTGTCTGTAGCTGAAGGGAAGTTGAAGAGACGAAGCATTTCAGGAAGGCCCAATTTACCGGCATCTTGTTTCTCATCTGGCGGAGGGAGAAATTGAATCTCAATGTCTCGAAACTGTAAGTGAAAGATTTTAGCTGAGCGAATAAGAACCAGCCAGCACTCGTGAGGTCGTCCAATGAATCCAACAAGTCGTCTGACTTTGTAAGCATTGGTACGATAGAGCCGTAAGAACTGCGCTTCATCAAACTCAACGTACATGTCGTGAGCTTCCTTGATCACGGGAATCCAAGTGGAATCGTCTTCACTTCTTTTCAAGTCCTCCAAATCTTCTCCAAACTTCTTCATACGACCCTGGAGGTCGTCCTCATCTGTGTCAGTACTTCCAGATAGCTGAACGCTCGTCAACTTGAACAGCTCAGCCCGGTACCACATTAGTCTTGGCTTATAGTATTGTATCATAATTCGCCATGGAGTACTTTCGAGGCGATCAATGTTTTCTGTATTTCGATGGCATAACTCTGAGATAATTAGCAAAGTGAGGTTGTGTACCATGCAAGAGACCCTACCATATTCTAGTGCAATCTTTCTGAGCCTGGCTTGAAGAAAGTCTCTGAATTCTTCCTCATGCTTTTCTTGCCAGTGCTCGAAACCCATATTTCGAGCGATGAGCAATTTCGATTCGCCATCTTTCCATATGAGGAGCGATGCTGTGACATACTTGCCACCCTTCTGCATTGAGAATAATTGGGCAATCCTGTCATGGAAATGGTCACTGAGTTTTTGAGTATTATCGGGGAGCTGCGGAGTATAGAGGTCATAAAACCCTTTTCTTTTCCCTTTCAGGAACTTTGAACAAAAGTTAGAAGCACTTATAGCAGCACGAAAAGCTTCCTCGCGGGGCTCATGAGAGCGAGATATATCCGACATTTTTCGCTATCGAAGGTTTTGAACGAGCTAATGAAGACAAATGGAAAAGAGATCCGCAGGGCTATTGAGATATTTTAAATAGTCAATAGAAATAGTGGGGTAAAATAAGAGGAGGGCAGGAAAGGAGGAATACCGCGATTTTATGTTCCATAGTTTCGCCCATGTAACGAAGGCCAAAATGATAGAACACAATGATTCTTTGTGAAAATTTTGAAGTGATTCAACTCTGGTTCCAAATCTTATATGAGTGTCGAGAAAACTGCTTAATGGGTGGCCTACTGTAAGGTGTTGCTGGAGTCAAAAAATGGAGAAATGGAGGGACCATGGTTGACTTCAGTAACCATGGGTATGAACTTTAGTCAACGTCGATCCACTAAAATTGACTCTAATATGTCCATTCTAATGTGAACAAACAACATGTCATTCGACGAAACACACTTGACTCATAGGCAAAGCAATTATTGATATACAGAATCATTAGAGGAATCGATATGAGACATGTGAGTCTCCTGTGGCCTTGAAATTGCCCTTTAATGTTTTAAAGAGATAAATGATACAAAATCGAGAGTCTCTCTAATGGTTTATACAAACTTGAATCTCAAATAGCCAGAATTACACCACCCAGCTAGGACTATTCTTCTCATGCTATCGCCAAAGTCACAATGGATATCGATTCCAGCTTAATGGAACCAACCCAATCAAAGCTATTGATGACGGGATATTTCTTCTTATCTCCTTTGTTACTGCCACCCCACCGACTTTTCATTGTAAAAGTATCCGAAGTAGAAAGCGAGCTCGACTTAAGACTAATAAACTCTCGAAACATTTTACCCATGGATCATCAATGAAAGATGTCTCAACCCGCTTCGCGGGCTCCGAAGAGATGAAACATCAATGAGAAACAAAGAGCGCATTGTGAGTCTGAAAGAAAATATTCGAGAAAGTCTAAAATACTAATCATAGACACTACAGGAATACCGAATGATGAGTGTGAGGAAAGTGGGCTCCTATTGTCAGTGTTACCCATAGTCACTCTTCAAGTAGCGCCAGTCCATTTAAGGACTTCGGATTTCTCCCGCTTTTAGTAAAGTCATTCCAGGGATCCTGTGATATTTATCGACTTTTGAAGCTGTCCAATACAATCTCCTGATTAATAAACACTCTTTGGAACCGATATAGCTCAGTCATAATTTTAATGTGACTCCGAGCTATCGGATTGTACACCACAAATTTTGAATATCAGAGGATGGTATAACTTTTCCCTCTCTATACAAGGTCGAACTTTTACAGATCAATACACAATTATTCATTGGACCTGAGTACAGGTTGGCGTTATATAAGCACTGACTCTTATCGTGGAACAAATGCCTTTAGTGATATAAATCTGTCTGAGGGTGCAATAATAATTTCTACATTGAAAGCTTTCGCGTTACAAGATCTATACCTACCAAGGCAATGCGTCCTTCAACCTCAAAGTAACTTCCCTCCCTTTCAAATCAATCCAAATAGTCGCAGGATCGCTCCCGACTTTCTCCGTGTTGTATACAATTCCTGTATCCAAAATCGGTCCAGGAACCGTGACTGGGATAGCCGCCCCGCATTGATGTCCAACACTCGGTGCACCAATTGTCACCCCTGTGATACTTGAACTACCAAAGAGATAAGTGAGTGAATAATTACACTTATCCCTCATCATACGATTTGCGAATGTTGTTGCAAGCTACAAATAAAACATTAGCCGAGAAACGAAAAAAAGGGGAGTCGAGAAAACACACATCATCATGTTTCATGCTGATGATTGGCCAAGTAACTAGACGCGTAACTTCTGCAACGATGCTCTCAACCCACATCTGCAGAAGTGAATATTGTCCCGAAACTCCGTTTATGGTATTCTTCGCTACTCCTTCCCATCGGAGGTTGGCTTGATGGAACATAAATGCGTCATGGTGTAGACGAAGGAGATGACGGGCGTTAGCGGTCTTTTCTGCTGCTATAAGGGTTGGGAAATCACCCGTTCCTCCAACGGAGTTCCATTGTGCAGAGTCGCATGCTGCATCGTCACACTAAGGTAGTTAGGTTAAGGATGTCTTTGAGTAGAAGGGGAAATACATTGTAGAATATATTTGTTGCCCAACGAGGGGTAATTTGAATTCCATCAAACCCGCTGGCTGCTAAGGTCGTGATTAATGGCCAATGTTCGTTGACCTGCAAGTCTACAGTTAGTAAATGAGCACTGCATGGAGCGGAAACCCTACCGTATTTAACAACGCACTTCTAGTATTATCTCCCACTACATTGACAATTCCCTTTTCTTTCCAAGCTCTCAAAGCATCCCCGTTGTGTAAGCCCGTAATGGCTGGCGGAATAATGCCCCTTCCGCTGAACCACTTTCCATTTGCAAATCCTATCTGACTCATCCATCTTTGATTCCAAGTGATTTCTTTCATAACATCGTCATATGTAGCGGTGTTTTCGTCTTCGTGGGTGAAAGTATGACTAACATGCATAAAGGAGTCACGAATATTCGGAGTCTGGAAGAATGCTGACAGCGGATCTTGGTCGAGACAATCATCGGCATATGAATAGTTCGTGGCATCGACGGGCCATAGACTGGTGCCTGTGCCCACTGGCTTGACATATTCAAGTGGGACTGTAACAGGATCTGGACGTACTATATTACCTTGTTTGCAAGCGGACTTTTTATTTCTGAAGGAGATCTGAAGGAGGGGTGAGTAGTTGCTTTAATTACTGCTTAGAAGTATACGATCGCTCACCTCGATATTACCGTTGCCATTGTGACCGATCTCCATGGTGTAATTACTTCCGGCTGGCATTTTTGCACCGACTGTTCCTGTCCATTGGATATGTGTTGCAAGATCTGAAGTGCTTACACGGTAAGATCCTCCGTTGAAAAGCGTAGTGGTGAGAAACATGTCATCAACTATCCAAATGTTAGTGCTTAGGGTACTAGTTCTGTGAAGCAAAACTACCTTGCGTATTCAGCATCATTCTTCTATATCCAGCGTCTATGAATGAATTATTAGCCCATCAACTCAATTGAGTCGCAAAACTCACAAAGTCCCCTAGTAGCCCAATGAATCCAAACATGTGTTAGCACAGTCGAGGTGAGTGCCCAATCAGTTGCCATAGGCAGGAAAAACACCATCTACTGGGTGTGAGTAATTTAGCCATGGCAAGAACTGCCACAAACTAACCTGCTTCCTTCCAGAGAAATTGTTGATTACAACGGCGTTAGTAATATCCGAAAATCCAGTCGTGGGTCCAAAGTTTACGACAGAAGTAGTTGTCGTGGAATCAATAACCGCGGCAGGATAATGGTACAGGCCCAGTGTGCTCATAGTGGCTCCCCTTCATCAAAATTAGTAAATATAATAACAAGCTGAAAATCCACTTACGTTTTTAATCCGGCTGTAGGAAATTGCGATGTATCTGCAATGTAAATTGTCTGATCCTGCGTATCACCACAACAAGACCCAACAACCCTCGTCCCAGAGCTCGCAGAAGGAACAACATCTAACCTTACCATCCTAGCTCCAAAAGCAACTTGATAGTCATACATAGCTTGCCATTGATTGGCAGTAATAGCAGAACCCCAATTTCCAGCCGAATTCTTGTAGCTGACTTCGGATAGAATGACAAATCCACCATAATTTCCGACTATATCTGAGCTTTTCAATTGAGGTAATGTGATTCCATTCGAAGGAACTAGGATGAGTTCGTAGGGAATTCCGTAATCATTCAACCCCGAGTATGCAGAATACGCTGACGCTGCATCTCTTGCGAACACCAGAAAAGTTGCTTTTGTGCTTGTTGCAAGAGCTGTGATATCTCTCTTTTGCGCGGTACCATTCCCCGGGTGGCATTCGGTAGTATTCGCTTTGAACGATTGGCCATCTATCTTGACCGTCGTAGGAGGAACCAGTGGAGGTGGTCGATGTAAAGTTTGATTTGTGGGATTTCGTATCTGCTCGGGATCATTGGTGGTATCTTCTCTATCCAAATTTCGTCTCTCATCGCCGGAATTCCCACAGGTCATGGATGGTTTTAGCAAGAAGCCTGCAATAACCCAAAGAAAAATCGAAAATCTTGAGAACATGATGGTTAATCGAAGTCCGCAGTCGCCATGAATGACCGAGTTGTAAAGAAAAGAGATTTTTCTATTTTCTGAAAATAAAAAAATAATGAACCATCGTTCCAGGGTCTGACATATCAAAGGTTCCGAACGGTGTGGCGCGGCCCAGAACCAGGTATTGAATGCATGCATGCGTGCTGCAGTCAATAGACTCGAGATAATATCAGGGAACCCGAAAAAGGAAGCTGAGAAACAGGCTAAGGTAGCAAGCATATGGATGGGCTTTGGACTTGGAATGTTCCGATGCGATGAATCACAAAGAAGAAGCGTTCTCTGGACGCGTTCTGAAACCGTCTTCATGTATTTCTAGAGGTAGATAAAGATAATGAAGTCTCATCAAGAAAGAGCAAGAAGATATGAACGCTGGCTCCGGTTTCCGATGAGAAGATACCACATTGGATGGGTAATATGAGTCTTCTCAAGTCGTGCTCCCAAGTTCATGTCCGTCAATTTAGCCATATTGCACACGTGATATGCTTTATTGGTTGATTCGCTACGTTACTTGGAAAAGACGCGAGATATTAGTTCTTAGGCAGCAGTAAAATGAGCATCAGATGTCCATCGAAAGATTTGAATTTGGCCTCGGAATAGGAATACGATGGTAGAGGTGTTGGTGCGAAGAAACGTCACCACAGTCTGGGATATGATTCGAGGATCTGTACTATCCCCAAGTCAATAGTACCAGAATATATCCAATTCATCTAATTCCCGGAACGGACAGGCAGAAAAAGCTTCTTTCGTCACCTGTATATGAAAATTAATTAGCGTTAAAAATAGGTGTTGATCCAATGGCTCTTTGGTATAAGCTAACGAAACTTTCCTGTACCAGGGTGTGGAAACTTGAAAGCGATTGTGAATATACAGTACTCCTTGGGTACGTAGATATATGAGTCTGTGAGTAGTTCTTGAGCGTTTTAACATGCTCGCTGTTTTTAGTATATAGTTGTATTTCGCAATTCAGTATTCTACCTTCGAACAGATCTATAAAGCTAGAACGGTTTTACGAGGACATTCGGTAAGTAATGAAGTGGCACACAGGTGGTAGTATAGTCGTTTACTGTTCAAGACAATATCCCGTACAAAAATGAAAATCAGTATAGGCCACGGTTCGCTACATTACTTTTCAAATTGCTTGCACCCTTCACTCTAGAGTATAAGCGAACTGAAGCGAGAAGGAAGCTCAAATGTCCAGACCCCTACTGAGTAAGAAACCTTGTCGTTACTTTGCACACGCTATATAAATCGTTCTTATACCAAACTTCTAGTACAAGTAAGATAATTTGGTACTATACCCAGCCTAATGGAAAGTGACAATTATTGTAAGCTCTTTATATAATTGTTTTAGTTATACGACGCTATTGAGATAATTCTATTATAAGAGACGTGTGTACAGAGTAACGACAACTTCTCTTCCAAGTCTCCAGGAGTAAACTCCCATCACACCAACAAAAATACAGTAATAGAATAATAAACCCAAAAAGATACACAATAATTCACCAGAACTTTCATAAGTACGGGGTATCTTACAACATAAAATCATTCTCATAGCCATACCAAAAACCCATATCTAACTCACGTAACACATAACTTACCTATTCATTACCTATTCCAGCCTCTCCCTCACAAAACAACTAAGAAACCCCCCACCACAACCACAGCCCCCAAAACAGCCATCCCACTGCCCCTTATAGTCCCCGCACCACCCTTCGCAGGNATTACCTATTCCAGCCTCTCCCTCACAAAACAACTAAGAAACCCCCCACCACAACCACAGCCCCCAAAACAGCCATCCCACTGCCCCTTATAGTCCCCGCACCACCCTTCGCAGGCGCGGGTATACTATTATTCGTATAAACCTCCCCCTCAACCTTCAAAACCGTCGCGAATTTATCCGCCACAAGACTATCCTCACATTAGCATTCCCCTTCCCCTTCCACTTTCCCCCCCTTCATTCCCCTCAAAACCCCAAAACCAGCCAAAAACAAAAAAGAAAAGAATTCAACATACCTCTCCACCCCTTTCGACACCCCCCCAAACCACGCCGCCGTAGTAACAACATGATAATTATACCCATTCCGCGCGAGACTTCTCTTCACCTCCGTATCGGGGGCGGTCGACACGAGAGCCGCGTGCGCGGAGGCATACGTGGGGTTCGCTTCGAAGGATTGCTCGACGGAGTAGAGGGCGTGGGCGAGGGAGGTAGAGATGGCGGGTGGCAGGGTGGGGATGGTGACGTAGTAGGCTGAGAGGAGGGAGGGGCGGGGATTGTTAGGGGCTGGGAGTCGGGAAGTGAGTTGTGGGAAGGGGGAGGGGACGTACACGTCGAGTGTTGAGGATGGTGTTGGTGTGGATTGTGCGGATATGGAGGTTGCTAGGAAAGACAGAGCTAGAGATTTGAGGGCTTTCATGGTTGGGTTGCTTTTGCTATTCCTATAGAGACTTTGCAAAGAGATTCAATAATCCAATAGTTCGAAAATAGCAGAGAAAGATTGGGGGATAATGAAAAGGACAGGATGAAATGGTGTTCATATAAAATAGCACAATATAAGGAACAGCCTTGCGCCTCAATCGTGCCGTACTCAGCCCCTGAATGAGTCGAGATAAAATTGCTGACAGAATGCAAAATACGAGTGACGGGGAAAAGATGTCTGTAATCATTGATGGGAAGATGAAACGGGTAAATACAATTGGGGGCTGAATGGCAATGTAACATTATGTGTACCAATCAAGATCTTTAGACTGGCGTGCTTAGATTGGATGTATATGTTCACTTGAAGAAAAGAGAACTAACTATACCTACTGCACTTTCGTCAAAGATATATATCCAAGAATCGCAGGGAAGGGAACTAAACCGAGGAGCATTTATCGTCTACTAGTGCGTCAACAGTCGCATAATATCAGCAAACCAGCGATCATGTAAGAGAAGCGGTCATTACTCTGTATACACTTTGTTTTGGAATAATATTATCCTCAAAACCTCACATAACTAAAAGAATTATGTAAAGGAGTTAGAAAAGTTGTTTCCGCTTACTTGGTATTAGCTAGAAAATTAGTACAGCACCTTTTTATATAGTGTGTACAGAATAATGACCAGGTATCTTACAAATAAGTGTCAATGAAGGAACACCACTTCATCAATCCCAAGTTTCAAGGTCCATCTCCTCAGGCACAACAACATGACACCCATGCTGTACAACATCCATCCTCAGATTCAAGAAACGACTCATTGCCCCTTAGGAACACCCTTCGCCCACGGATACGCACTCGGCATAGCTGTCCAAGGCGAAAGATCAGTATACGACCTCGTCGTAGCCGTCCCCTTAAAAACCTTCAACACGAAAGGCAGAACATTCGTGCTAGCAACCATTAGTCACCTCTCACTCAAACCAGGGAAAAGACAGACAAGGAGGAAAACATACTACCCAGAATTATCACAATGCCCACCACTCCTAATCGCCATCCCAATCCTCTCCTCCACCCCCAACCACCGATAAACCACCTGCGCAGCCGGAAAAACAGTCACAGCCGTACCCTTACTATCCGTATACGCATCACCCTGTCCCTGATCAATAACCAATGCTCTCGGCGCAATCGCCGACGCTATGGTATTCGCATCAAACGGTAAGCGATCAGCTTGATTGATAAACGTCCCCAGTCCGCTATTACTCCACCATCCGGCGCCCGACTTGCTATTCTCGAGATTCTCGCCCTGTCCAGAGAGCGAGTAGCGGTACGGACCCAGACCTTGAACGCCGGAGGACATGGGCATGGTGAGGGTGATGCGCGAATCGAAGAGTCCAGCTGCTAATGCCGCTTTGCCTAGACGTGAACAGCCTGTCACGCCGACTTTTGATATGTCGATTTCAGGGACTGTGAGGATGAGGGCGTCGAGGACGCGGTGGAAGCCCCATGCCCAGGCTGTTAGAACACCTGTGGTGGTTTAGCTGGGTTATTACAATCTTTTGTTTTAGCGAGAGGAGAGAATGTGGATGGATATACATACCAATATCCCTCCCGTTATACAACGCCCAAAACGCTCCACTCTTCCCATTACTATCCGGCGCCACAGACGTATAATCAAAAGTCACCACCGCAATGCCCTGCTTCAGATAGGCATTATTATCAATCCCCCCAATCGCGATGATAACCGGGACTCCAGTCGCACCACCCGTAGGTAGATTAACAGTAGCCTTGAAACTGCCCGTCTTGCCACCAGCCGCAACCGTGATGGTAACCGCGTTCCCGGACCTCGTCGCGGTGACCTTCTCAGCAGCGTGGTCGGGATAGAATCCGTATTGGTATTGTTGAAGGAGTTGCAGAATTTCGGGTTGTCGACATGCGTACCATTCTTCTTTTGTTGAGACTCGACTTTTCCCGTCGAGATATGTGAAGAGGTCGGGGAGGGTGGAGATCTTGGGATATGTGGCTGCGGCAGGCCATGGAGAGGGGGTCTTTGGACAGGTGATGTTTTGTGCTAGGAGGGACTTTGCCAGACTCAGGAGAGTCGCCATCAGAGCAAACTGGGATCGCATTGTAAGATTGTAGATATCTGTAACTTATGAAACAACAATCTTGCGGGACTGTTACAACAGTTCTTGGATAATCAGTCGCTATCTATAAGTTCTATTCTGCCACAACTCTGGAGCTTGCAACTTGGCGTTGTGAGTTTTGATATCAGCCATAGTCAAGACTACAACATAGATAACTTCAGGCAATAAAGCTGTTTGAATCCTCGGCAGGTGCCTGTAACAAGCAGACGGCTAACTTAGCACTCATTGGACCGTCGATCTATTAGGATGGTCACCACATACGATACATTCCGGCACGAGATCTTGGAAGCATTCCATGGTCGTTCCACTGTAATATCACTTAATATATATTGAATGATTAAAAGATGCCAGAAAGTCGTGGGGTAGTGTGGGGCACTCTGGGGCACCTTGTAGCCTATGTAATGAACCAGCCTATTGATAAATAAACATTTAGCCAGCGATGGACTTGTGATCTGATGGGTTTGAATGGCAGTTGGAAGAGAACACATTGAAAGAAGTAAACCATAACAAAACCTGACGGCTCAAAAATGCTACTGAACTTTTGACAATAGAAGGACTGAGATGTAGTTTCGCTCGAAGTGTGAAGCTTCATATGACCACAGAAAGGGTAAGTGAGCGAACAATCACACCAAATAGGAATTGTAGGTACAAAATAACCAGAATGGAAGTGCCACATCTTTCAACGCCTTCCTAAAATGCTTGGGGGCAGTTTCAACGAAGAAATTGACTTTAAAAGGCTTGAAACGAAGTCGTGATTTTCGCTTGTACACTGGCGTGACTATCTCGTGAGAAACAGGGAATCAAAAAGGTTTCCCACTTCAATCACGATTTCTGCTTCGTGCAAAAAACTATTAGATGACCAGTAAGAGCATAAGCTTATCAATTTTACTGTTGGGTCAGTTTGCCATTCCTACCTGCGACGGCCTCGAAAAACGGAGTCGTAAGCTGTTGAATCCTTGGAACAAACGACACGACGGCACTGTAATATCCGCATTCAAGGTGAGTAGGCATGTCAAGAAGTTCGTCGCCGGTGTTGTATGTACATCCACCAAGGGATTGATATTTGTAGTGGTTATAATCCATTACTTCCACGTCCCTTTGTGGTACTCGCTGACCATCCAAATCACCACCCACTATGCTCCTTCTCAAGATACTCAATCTCCTCCGCCGTAGACTTCCTCCCAAGAACCTCATTCCTCGACGGAAACCTCCCAAACCGTCTAATACAATCCATATGGCTCTGTGCCGACTTTATCGAATTCACCGCGAAATCCTTCATCATCTCCTCCCCCACACACCTCTCCACGAGCCCTTCGCACAACGCCATCCCCGCAATCTGCGACACCAGATTCTCATCATGCATCAGCGTCAAGTAAAAAAACACCTGCTGCATCACCGGCACCTGCCTATCAAACCGCTTGGCGATAGCTTCCGCCGCGATCCCAAGGCCCAATCTGTCTTTGCTATATGATTCTGGCGAGCCGCGGAAGATATTCCGGGAGAATTGATCCAGCAGGATGATAAGCGCGAGGGTTCCTTTAGGGGCGGCGGTCCAGGGCGTGAGTTCTGCGGCGCGCGCCTGGGACACTAGAGCACTGAAATGGTCTTTGATTTCGCTGTCGACTTTGGGACCGCCGCGAAACCATTTTTGGGGCACATCGTCGCCTTCGAACCAGTATTTTATGACGCGGTCGATTTCGGGTCGCGGGGTGGATACTATAGACATTGCGCGGTAGGAGGGGTTGAAGGCGGATTTGACGATGGCCTGGAATCCTAGGACCTGCGAGGCGATATATCAGTACGTAGTTTTGGTGAAATACGCAGCGAATCTGCGGTCGAAAGGGATGACATACTTTGCTTAGGGACGAGGTCAGGTTGAAGGGCCGCATCTTGGGGTTATTTGGTGGGATTTATATGATATTCATTGAAGTGACGTAGATGTGCCTGATGTCAGGTCGTCACTTGGGGCACAGTGAATCCATCGCGGACCCGAATGTCGGTTTAGGAGGATAAAGATGGCACCAAAGGGCATTAGTGCTGAGTACGGAGGATTGTATTTGGCGTTTGTGGCGGTTGTGGATCTAAGATGTGCAGGTGAGATGTCAACGTCCCATCCCCATCCCGTCTCCAGAAGTTTCGTTCAAACCTATGCGACTCCCGCCACAATTATCGTAAGCACATTCTGAAAACATAGGATTGTAGCACATGGGCTCAGTTCATCTATGCCTAAGCCATGAAGATTTCAAATACGTGGTGGGCTCGATGCGAGAAAGAATTGATTGTGAACTGATTTGTGTGGATTGCTGCTGCGCCAAAGTGTCCTGAAGGACGGGAACGCCTGCAAATTGAATTGTAGTAACACCAGGTAAGATACCTGGTCGTTACTCTGTACACACTATATAAAACTCTATTATACCAAGCTTATAGTACAAGCAAGATAATTGTCTTAGGATACCTAGGCTAGTGAGAAGTAAGATATAACAATTATTCAAGCTCTTTGTGTAACTATTTTAGTTGTGCAACGTTTTTGGAGTAATTTTATTCTGTGAGAGGTGTATACCTCCGTACAGAGTAACAACCATATCTCTTACATACAGCCCTTTCTCAAAAGTACCAAGCAAGATGTTTCACGACCCTAGAACCTGCAGTTTCAAAGGCACTTCACATACTTCGATATACAAAAGGCCTTGCAAAATACCCTACCCTGCAACACACAAGTAGGTAGATAACCCTAGAATCTTGGTAATTTTGAGAAGGTCCTCTATATGCCCCTTGGGGTCTAAGTTCTAGACTTATACTATGCGAGCAGAAAGTTTTAACACTGAATCCAAATTAGGACACGTATCAAGTACAAAACTCTAATATACATGGTAAATTTAGAACCTGGAAACACGTGCCTGATTTTTCTAAGCAGAACAGGCCCTTAGCCAACAGGAAAGTTGTATTAGTTTCGCCTATAACAAAGTACTTTGAAGTACTGGGGTAAAGGGTCTGGACAGCTTGGGTCTCCCCCCCACCCTTTTGACTTTCTGACATACCTCCATATGAATCGGACCATTCAATTTGCTTAGAGGGCTATATTGTGGAGTTATACCCTCCCTGTAACAAGTCGTATACAGGGGAGGGGGCGACGCGAGTTGTCCAGACCCTTTACTATTCCTTGGACCGTAAATCACACAGCGCTAAGGCTTAGCCTGTCACGAATCACGTTTGAGCATGTGACGAGTGAAGACCAGGCGGCGCCCTGACAGGTTAAGCACTATCGTATCTCTTATAGCAAATAGGGATCGTTTAGGGTAGCTAAGCGATCCATGGATTTCATTGTATTGTAGTCACGTAACCAAGCGACCATTGTTGGTGTCGGTCGAACCGACTGTCGCTCTGAGCGACAGGCGATCGAGTCGCTCTGCGATGATCGACAGAGAACGAAGGATCTATATAAGACTGGCACGTCTGCCATTAGATAGGAGCTTCGTGCTCAACTTAGTTATCAATATTATCATATTAGTTTGAATGTTGGTGTCGGTCGAACCGACTGTCGCTCTGAGCGACAGGCGATCGAGTCGCTCTGCGATGATCGACAGAGAACGAAGGATCTATATAAGACTGGCACGTCTGCCATTAGATAGGAGCTTCGTGCTCAACTTAGTTATCAATATTATCATATTAGTTTGACATCTTTGATACAAGTAACGAGTTCACTTCCAAGTGAACAACCCGATAGTCTTCTTCTTATCATAGCATACCAACCAGCGAACACCCAGCCAAGTTTAGTTAGCCAGTTTGAGTATTCGTTACAAACCTATACTAGAGCAAGAATAACCTTAAGAAGTATAAGATAGCTACTTACTAGGTTCCCCTAGAAGTACTACTAAGGAAGAGTAGTAAAAGCTACTTAATAGCCCTCTAGGTAGTATAATATAAGCTTATAAATTAGTAAGTCCTATATTAGACTAGCCTAATTAAGAAGATATTAATAAAGCTTTCTTAGAATCCTAGCTATAATTATTAACTTAGGCTATAAAAGAGATAAATATATAACTTTTACTTAGTAAGGTGTAACGAATACTCAAACTGGCTAACTAAACTTGGCTGGGTGTTCGCTGGTTGGTATGCTATGATAAGAAGAAGACTATCGGGTTGTTCACTTGGAAGTGAACTCGTTACTTGTATCAAAGATGTCAAACTAATATGATAAGATTGATAACTAAGTTGAGCACGAAGCTCCTATCTAATGGCAGACGTGCCAGTCTTATATAGAACCTTCATGTTCGGCCGTCGCCTACATCGCCTGTCGATGCTGTCGACATGTCGCCAGTATCGACAGGCGATACTGGCGATGCAAATGGTCACGTGATTACAATGTAATGAAATCCCTGGATCGCTTAGCTCGTCTAAGCATCCCTATTTGCTATAAGAGATATGATAGTGCTCGACCTGTCAGGACGCCGCCTGGTCTTCACTTGTCACATGCTTACGTGATTCGTGACAACTACTTATTTATAAGGTTATATAAAGTAGTATTCTTACTACCTTAACACCTAGATACTAATATATCCTATATGTAACGAATACTCAAACTGGCTAACTAAACTTGGCTGGGTGTTCGCTGGTTGGTATGCTATGATAAGAAGAA